CAATTTCCAGTATCACAATCCCAAACATATACAAACATCCTGGTTTGAAATTTAAAACATTTTTTTTAAACAGATGGGAACACTTTGAAGCATACAAGAGCAGAAAAAAGAAGAAAAAAGAAAAAAGAAAAAAGAAAAGCATAAAGAGTAAAGATAGTGCCAGAAAACAAAATAAAGAAGGAAGGGCAAGAACTTCTGAATTTCCCATTCAGTATTATTCCTTTTTTCAGCTTTAGTGAAAGAGTAAAGGTAGTCAGAATCTGTGGATCATTGGGCCTGCAACAACTGGAACTTTGTTCTCTTCTCAGTCTCTCTCTATTTTTGCTCACCCATCCCAGCTCCTATCTTAGCCCCATAACCTCTTTCATCTGATGCCCAACTATAACAAGTGTTACGTAAACATCAGCAATTACTACCACTCTGACTTTCCTTTCCCATTCCAGCCAGTCATTACTTTCCTCACTGCTATTGTCTTTTCCTTTGGACCCATTACCTAGTGTTTCTGCCTTTTCAGCATGCCAGCTCCTCTTATTGCTCTTTTCTCTCTGTCCAAAATGGCACTCTTCTTATCCTATGGAAATGTTACAGATAGGAAGAATACTGCCCTTTACATTGCTTACACCATCATGGTGTGAGAAATTCTCTATGCATATACATGAATGTGTGCCTGCATAACATTGTATTGTTTGATGATTTCGACTCATTTGTATTGCTTGATTATCTTTTAATATAAATCCAAGACATAGTTATGCTACAAAAGGGGATGTCTTTGCATATTCTTTGTTGGCCTACTAGATTTCACACAGTTCTGTTAAGGAAATTTCCAATGTAATACTTTCTAGTGTAGTTGTCTTCAAGAAACATCTGGGATTTTCTATTTTTCATTGTGGCAAGGCTACATATCTGAGTATCTAGTAAGAAAGTTTTGATGTCTCTGATAATTTCCTGAAACAAATAAAGGAGACACATGCATGCACAAATATATATAGTTATACATGTGTATAAAAGATGCACACAAACACACATCTACATAAGTATATAAGTGTACATAGCCATGAATGTGAACAATTTTATTTCCTTTAAGAAGGAATCCTTAATATATTAAGAATTTTTCTCTGCTATCCAGAATTTTTCATGTGTTTTAAAGGGTTTAACAGTCCTATTTGGTTGCTATCCAAGTACTTTTACTGATTGGTGGAACATAAACAAAGTACAAAATTTGGCATGATCTGCAGTCTTGTCTGAGCATTGTGAATAACATTGATATTTTAGATTGGTCTGAAGAGACATTTCAGAACTGAAAAGATTACACAGTGCCTGTTCATACAAACTCTGGCTAAGGCTATTAGTCTTTAGCTGTACCTACCACAAGATTAACCAAAACTTGTATGAAAAAGTAGGTAATTTCTTAGGGCACATCAGGAAAAAAATGGAGCAAGAGATTAGAAACATGATACATTAGTTCATTTGGTGAGTTGGTACTGGTGACAAATTGTAGCAGTCAGTCATCAAATTAAATTTTACTACAAAGTTATTTAGAACATTTACATTGAGAAAAAATATCAGACTATTGGCAATATATTTCCCTTTTCTCTCATACCATGACTGCTTAAGTTATATTTTCTTCCTGAACATTCTTAAACATCTTCTGGAATTTAGATTTGGAAGTGGTTCTTCACGCACAGCTTTTCTTTTTTGATTTTTCTCCCACTTCTGTTTTCCAGTGAACATATAATTGGAGGAGTTGATATCTCTTTGTAGTCTCGTTTCTTTAGAATACATTGAGACATTTATAGAATGTGGTTCACTTCAAATAGAAACATGCATCTTGTGGAATGGTTTCATTGGGAAGAACAGTAGGGATTCTACAAGAATTCTAGGAGATCGAAATCTGGTTTCTAGTTCCTCTTTTGCTTCTAGCTTGTGATACAACATTGGGCAAGTTAACTTCTCTGGGTTTCAGTTTTTTCGTTTATACAATTGAGGGTACTGAGAAAAATGAATTCTTAGAGTCCTAAAATTTCTAAAAATCTTCTCCTTTTACATTGGGAGCCAGGGAATTCTGTGCTATAAGATTTGGCTCTTTTTGTAGACTTGGCCAAGACCCATCATTGTCCTTTATTACATCTCTGAAATATGCTTTTCATAGGTATTTTTTAAACTGATTAGTTAATATTCATAAAATGCGTTAAAGAGCTTTATGTATGTTGTCTTTTTATCCTGTTTTATGCAATTGTATATAATAAAAGTCAAGTGTTATATAATCAAAATAAGTGTTTCCTATGATGTGATCAAGGGCTTTTTGACATTTACTATTCTAAATATTAAAGTAGTAGGACACTGAGCCTGCATAAAATTATACTTAAAATATATGCTTAATCATTTTTGTTCATTCCATAGGTGAACACATTTTTAGTTACAGAATATAATGGGAATTATAATCACACTCCATAGTTATGACTGGATTCTCCACCAGGGTAGTAACAATTGATTTGTTTGGATGCTGTTAATTTGTAATTGGGATTATTTTACCTGGCTGAAGTTTATTTCTGAATGATATGTGAGGAATAGTGTTGTTAAGTGAATTAATAATGTAAAATATTGTTCGTGAACTGTATTTCTGATTAAAGGAATTATTTTTAAGCACTTTGGCATAATAGTTGTCAGCTAATGAGAGGTAATTATAAGCGACTTAATTTATTAAGGGAAAAGTAAGAACTGAGTATATATATATATATGTCTCCACCATCAAATATAATGCTTTTAGGGTTTTTAGGTGTTTTGAGTGCTGAGGATTGGGTGTAGGGAGACAGTCTCACTTTCTTTTCACTCTGAACAAATATTAAATTTGGAGTACCACAAAAAAATATTGAATATTAAGTCTGCAAGAAATCTAGACTGCAAATTGACATAGGGGACTCATGGTATTAGATGGCTTCTTTGGAGCCTAATGAAATTAGACAAAAAATATGTTGATTTTTTGAATCAGTTGAGTGTTTATAGAAGAATAATAACTTGAATGTTTACAATAAAGTGATCTTCACTTGTTTGTGGTGGTTCCCTTTTTTAAAAAATTTTTTATTGCATTTTAGGTTTTGGGGTACATGTGAAGAACATGCAAGATTGTTGCATAGGTACACACATGGCAGTGTGATTCGCTGCCTTCCTCCCCCTCACCTATATCTGTCATTTCTCCCCATGCTATCTCTCCCCACCTCCCCACCCTGCCGTCCCTCCCCCATTTCCCCCCAACGGACCCCAGTGTGTAGTTTGGAAAACTCTACCTTAACTTGCCTGTTTTCCACTCACCAATATTTGAGAAGTCTTTATGAACAGATAAACTGCTGGAAACATTTCACTACCATGTTTTTACACGGGTTTTTGGATCTTTATTATCAGAAGGTGAAGTAACATTTGCAATTACTGCTTTGTAAAATTTTCATAAGCTGGAAAATGATTCAATCTCCTTTCTAAAACATCACCTTCTTACTACCTGATATATACCGGTTTTATGTTTTATATTTTTAAATGTTTTCAAATGCTTCAGGTTTTGAAAATTTATTTGAAACTTACTGTGGAATGAGACATTTCAAACTTGATATGTTCATACCTGTGTGTGTCTGTGTGTGTGTGTGTGTGTGTGTGTGTGTGTGTGTGTATATTTCTCCTTCTTTGGGTTTCAAATAAGTTGCCCCTGCAGATTATACCTGAGGCATTTTTGCTTTATAAGTACTAACGATTATTACAGAAAGCCTTCTAATGTAAAATATTGACTGTAGTTTATGCATATTAGTGGTAGGTTTAAACAAATTTTAAATTGTATTTTGGCTACTAATGCATTGATAAATATTCCTTTCTCTGATTCCTTTGACGATTTCTATGAGTCTGTTTTGTGTGTGAGTACTAAAAGGAGTATATAATTTAACACTTTAAATTGCTTGACTTGGTTTTTGGGGGCTGTTTCTTTTGTATGCTAGGTTGAATAAAAATGGCATATGAGGTAATGATGGTTGAGTCCACATTTACTTGTCAATCTTTCAAAATAAGCTTTCTCTTTCCATACATGTATGTATGCATATATGTAAATACTGCATGTACATATGTTCTGTGCTTCACAGGAAAATAGTAGTTTGTCTTCTTGCCTTGATATTGATCTGTATCTTAAAAGGAAGGTATTTGTGATTACCTTGGCTGATTTCAGGCGGTGTTTCTCATATATTAAATTTGGTATTCTGGAATTTTTGAAAATAGTTCCCTACTGTGGAAACATTCATCTGTGCTTCTAAAACATAGATGAAAAAGCCTCTTAGGAGACTAAATATCAATCTTTAAAAACTAGGAATAATTTGGAAACATTATCTGAAAGTCAACTATTTAAATTGGAAGCACGAGTTTATTGTTTGGATACAGACTTGAAAGTAAATATGAGTGCTTTGTCACTGCAGTGATTTTTAAAAATAGGTAGTGGCTTTCATGTCAATCGTGGTCTGCCTTTACTAAGCTTGCATTGATGGAAATGGATAATTCTATTTTTAGGTAGAGGCTGAAGGGTACTATGATTGTGAATTGCCTATATCAGGGGTAAAATTCTTCAGCCTGTAAATAAAGAGTTCGGCATAATACTCATTTAACCTATTTTCACTTTATAGAATTGTGTAGAAGATTCATGAATTTGTTTTGGTGCTTTAAACAGAAGCTTAAAAGTCACTTTCAGGGAATTTACAATACTATTTTCTGGCAGTATTTTAAAACAATATAGATGAATCCTTTATTTGCTTTCATGAAATACCTTAAGCTGCCTTTGACAGCAGCTTCAATTTTTGAACCTCCTTGACAATCGCTAATCCCTAGAGGTTACCGGACTCCCTGCTAAGCTTTGGAGTGGTCCCTGCTGGACACCTGCTTGGCTAGCAGCCTAAGTCTTTCCTCTAGGCAATTTGTGAGCTGTTTGCGGGGGAGGGAGGGGAGGAGTAAGTGGGGGAGAACAAGAGGGGAAAGGGGAGAGAAGGGGAGGGCAGCATTGAATTAGATTGTTGATAGCGTCCCTCTGAGGACTGCTATTAAGAGCATGCTACTCTACTTCTCTGCTGCAGAAGACAGAGTGATATTTGTGTAACCACAGCATGTTGTAAATGTATGAGATTTTGCTCATCCCGGCTTGGAAATAAGAATAGGAAAGGAGAGCAACTTGAATCAGAAGCTACTAGAAGAGCGTGCAGAGTTCTGCAGCAGTTTATATTTGTTCTTACATTTTGCCTTCTCCTAGCTGGAAAACAGAGGGACTGGAATTTTTGAAACGGGATTTTCCCATAATGGCATTCTTGTATTGTGTGGCCAGAGCTTGCACAGGAGGAAAGCAGGCTGCTGAATTTAGTCACTGATCTCTATTAGCGGTGGCCTAAGGCTATGCTGAGGTTTATATCCCATTTGTATTGTTGCAGCTCAAAAGAAGATTGTTCAGAGGATGACAAGTGTATTCTGAGTAGGTATGTTGTTTCATTTTCATATGAAACCTATCTATGTTTTTTCTTGCTACTATTGGTCAGAAATCAGGTTAATAGGTGCAGAATATAGTACAGTGCTGCAGTATCCCTGTTAAGGTAGAACAATGGTATTGCAAGCTTAAAAAAAATCCTAGCTGCTTTTATTAAATAAAGCCGCATTGTATGGTATGCACAGTGCAGTCTTAAAAAATTATACTGCAGTCAATGCTTTTCTGGCACTATTGTTGAGTTGGAATGATAGAATCATCATATTGCTTTAGGGGACTGAAGGATTTAAGGAGGTACCTTGCAGCCCTATTTTACAGATTGGAAGCATCGGTTTAAGGGCACTGGCTGAATCCTTTGCTTGTTCTCCGCGGCAGCCACTGCTGTGCCAGTACAGTGTGGAATGGAAGTCCTAGTTGGTAGTCTGTTATGGAAACGCTCTTTACTGTTATTGTAGTACCGTGGTGACAACATGCCATTGAAATGGAAAACGAGCTCTCCTGCTATCTGGAAATTCCCAGTTCCTGTGCTTAAAACATCCAGGTCAACTCCACTTTCTCCAGCATACATGTAAGTGAGAGAAAATAGGATATTAAAGTGGGATTTCATTCATGAGTCTACCTTGTGGCAAAATGGGGGCGGGGGAACCCCCAAACAGCAACATGCAGAAACCCACAGGATTAAAAACCTCAAGCTTGATTACATTTAAAGATGTTGGCATGCCCACATTTCATCATTGTTTTGTTTTCCTAAAGTTTTATGTTTATTTAAAGTGTTTTCTCGTAATCCAATTACCAATGTGAAAGTACAAAGGTATAACCAAGGAATTGCAAAAGAATTAACTTTAATCTTTAACATATGTTGGATTTGTTTGAATTTTTGAATATCTAAAACACTTAGGGTGATTTCTTTTGTGTAATGGTATTATAAAAAAAAACCCTGATGATTGATGGTGGTATGTTAAATATGGAAATAGCTCTATAGTATTTTTTCATGAATTAGAAACAGAGTTAACATTGGTCAGAAAATGAGTCTTTTAATTGAGACTTTAATACTTTAGTTGTGTATGAATATTAATATGCTTGGTATTACATCTTTCAGTTTTATCATTCAAGTTCTCAAGTATAAGTTTGAATTTGTGCAAATTCTATCCCTATGAGCAGTTACTTATATTATAGGGATTGAAAAAGTATTCTACAAATGTCTGTTTTAAAAATGTATTTTAAGTAAATATGTACTGAAGTGCATTGGGAAGTCTTTCTAGAAGTTTTCAAAATTTTTGAAAATCTTTTTAAATTTGCAGTGTGGCTTTAAAGGCAAAATCCAGGAGATATAATAAAATGTTCTTTTAAAGTGTTGTTCATGATCCTTTTTGGTGGAGGAAAACCTAATATTTTTTAAAAAAAATATTACGAGGAAAGATTCAAAAAGAATGTCTTAAATTTGAGTGTTCCTTTAAAATTTTTTTTATCAGTAGGAAATATGTATATTAATATTTATCAGTAGAAAAGATGTGGAATATTTCTCCTGCCTTAGGTTAATTGTGTATTAGGTTAATTGTGTATTTAGAACTGGGGTGAGTTGCCATTTTTTAACTTAGTTTTTGTTTTATGTGAGGTTGAGATGCACAATGATATCTATCTCGTTTTTTGAAAGGCTTTCGGATGCTGAGGAACTGTGGTTATGCTCTCAGTCCAAAAGAAGCAATTCTCTGGAAAGTGCTGAAAAATGAGGCTATTTCAGAGTTAAATCCTGTCATCATTTTATTTTCAGATTTTTTAAATGTTTCTTTTCATTTATGCTCCAGGTTATTTTTATCTCTTTGGGTGTTAAACTTTTATTTTCTATGAAGTAAAAAAAATATAGGCTAGTTTGTAAAAAGAAATCAGCTACATTTGTTTTTCAAAAGCTGTGTTTGTCAAAAGCACAAATTAATGGAAGTGACAAGTGAATGGAGGTGACAAGTTAATGGAGCTCTTTCAAATAATTTGAGAAGATAGGATGCTTCCTGACTTTATGCATCTTAGCTGGCAAGGAAAGACTAAAGATTTACCAAAAGCAACTTTATTATAAAAACAAACCAAAACAAAAATCAGTAGGTTACAATTAATAATGGTTATTAAAGCTTTTTGTATGCCTACTATATTTTATTGTCCAAAAAATCCAAATTGCAGCCCCTATTGCAGCCGATTTGTCAATTTTTACAGATGGTTAAATAAATGCCCATATTTTATTAATTTATACTAGCCACAAACTCAGATACAACTCAACACAATATTTTAAATTAATCACTTTCTTCCTTTTAAGTACTTACCTCTTTGACATGATGATATGAGTGAATCGATTTACAGGACAGAACCTACAAAATATCATAGATCTTGCATGTTGACTCTTGGTTGTTGGTTGTACACATAGGTAGAATGGAAAAATATATTTGAAGAGCTTGTAATAGGCTGGAGTGTTTTGACATTGTAACAGACTATTTTGAGATTATAACACTCTAAATTATTGAATTGGTCTTAACTTATTTTTATTTATATGTATATTAATAATTAATAGTGAATAAATATGCACAGATAGAAATATATGTGAAATGTAGCAAGGCTAGCTTGGGGAGTTTAAATGAGGTTTTAAAATATACTGTTTAGTTTTTGATCATTTTAGATCACAGTTCATTGCCTCATTTGGCCAAAAATAAAAACATCATGTTTAACATGTTTTTCTCATCAGTACTTCTCTATATTCTGCAACACATTTATACACAAAATGTTACTTAAGTATAGCGTAATTTCACTTCAAAAACAATACAGACTAAATTAGATTACTGGGTCAAGTAACATTATATTTGGTCTCACAATTGCTTGGCTGGCACACATAGGTTTAAATGGTTATTTGTGTCTTTTGGATCTAAACTCTGCATTGAAATGGAATATTTAAATTCAGACTCCTCAATAAATTGTGATATATAGGAAACTTACCTGTAAAATCATGTATAAGTATTTAAAGTGTTATTTTGAATATAGGATTCTTCACAAGTGATATAAGATCTTTCCATACGTATGCTTGTGTAGCATCACTATTGGTTTGTAATGTTTTATCATTATTTACTGTGCTTTGTCAAATATACATTACATGGTTTTCATTGAAGACTTGGGTACTTTGTCAAAGACCGAAATTTCAATATAAAGTATTTTAGGTTGTAGTAAAAATGTGTTACAGTGATTGAGCATGTGTGGGAAAAATCTAAAGGCTCTTTACCATCTCTTTCTAAACCCAGTGTATGTGCTGCTTCACTGTAGCTCTTCCATTGATGCTACAGATAGGGCAGTACTGCTACACTAATGAAAGCTACAATAGAGGATATTTTACTTACTGCAAACATTGAACAGAAAGACTATTTTACTTTCTTCCTTGTGGGTTTAAAGTCCATGTTTGTTTTATTTCTGTTTGTTTAGAACTTGAATGACAGTTGAAATGTCCCAACATGTTCAAGATTTCTTTATGATAAAGACTATAGTATTCGTGGCAATATTAAGAGAAATAGCATTTTATATAGTATTTAAAAATTTTTGCTATAATGTCATACTAGAAAAGTGGGGTATCTTAAATACAAAAGATTCAGGAAAATAATGCTTTAGTCTCTGGATTGATTGATGACCAAATAGTCTTTATTGGGTAGATATATTTTTTTCAGCTTTAGATTTGAGCACTTGTAGGGTTGTGTGCCATCCATGTGGATTTCTGAAGGGACTGTCTTGATAGAAATTGAGTACTTGGTGACATGTGTTTGCTTTGCACTCTGTTCAACAGTAGGTTGAAGTTCAACCTTAGCCTGAGGGAGGATCTCCTGGCCAGTGTAAACTGCATTAGTAAAGACTCTGCCCCTGACCGGTGCAAACAATATAAATTACTCTGTCATTTTGCCTAAATTAATAAAGCTGAAAGGGCAATCACATCTAAGTGGTTTTATGGTGTTTAGGTATTCACTGTTTTAAAGCAGCAAATGGTTCCTTCAGGCTCATATTATAGGGTTAATGCCTTGTTAGATGCTAAGGACACACTGCAATAGAACAAAATTAGCACTAGTGAACCTTTTATCTTTTCTTTTCTAGCAGAGAGTTTTGACAATAATAGTGTGGCAAGGAGGAAGGCAATTAGGTAAGAATTAACCAGTGAAGTATAACAGTGAATTCTAGCAAGACAGACACTGTGAGATGTTTTCCTTAGAATGTTACCTTTCTCAATATAAAAGACAATGAATGTTAGTGAACTAGACTTGTTCTCCTTTAGTCCTTGCACTTACGTTCAGTTAGCTTCCCATTTATGATGATTTTGTTTAATATGTAAAAAATAGTTTTATAGTAAATGCCAATAACACAGTGTTTTATACCAATTGCTACTATAATTTCTTCAATAAAATTCAGTACCTGGAATTTCCTAAGAGTGCACATATTGTAAAAATGCTCCTTGTTTGACAGTGATTCACAGCACAGACATAATAAAAATATGCATTTTCTAAATTTGACATGTTTCTATCCCCTAAGATTGTCTTTTTTCCTCTAATTTAGCAAATAAAACAAAACACTGTGGTTAGAGAAATCTTTCTTATCTAGCAAAATACTTACTCAGTTGATAATCTCAAAATAGAAAAAAAAATTTAGTTAGTTGCTTTCAAAACATATACTTTTATTTGTTTGTGTCTACTTAATTTATTTTTACTACATATGAACAATCTAACAAAATTATGCGGAAAAAGAACACAACTAACAGCTAAGACAAATTAGTCTGCAGTTTTTGTGGCATGTTCTTTGCGAGTTTGCATTGTCTGAGCTTGCAGAAGGACTAGATGATCATTTATTAATGGAAAATCCTAGAGATAGAAGTGACCTTAGGGGTCATTTAGAAAGTCCCAATCCCCTTTAATGCAGAAACTCATTCCACGACACCTCTGGAAGAAGACATTTCAGGTCCTTCTTGAACACTCTCAGTGACAAAAAGCTCACTACTTCAGCAAGGCTGCACCTTTCATTCATGGACAGCTTTTCCTTTCATTGAGCAAAATCAGCTCTTTGTATCTTTTGTCTCATGTTCCCAGTGCAGCCTTATAGAGCTATATAGAAAAAAATGTATTCTGTCTATTACATACACACTTAGGTGTCTTCTCATGTGGCATGGTTTTCAGACTCTTCACTTTCCTGGGTTGTCCTCACATGGATGGTTTTTTCATGTTAATCTTTACATAAGATACTACATCTGAACATGATGCTCCCCATGGGATCCAACTAGAAGACAGTTCTCTTCCTTTAAGCAGAAGCTCTGTTTGTCTTAAAGGGCCTGAGATTATATTATTTTTTAATTATAGGATTCACACTGGCCCCTAGTGAATTTACAGTTTGCAAATTGCCTTTTTGAAGGCCTTATGATTGGATTGCTTGCTCCTCACTGTCTGTGTTTATTCTTTTAGCTTCTTCAGATCTTTTAGTCTGAGGAAGCCTGGCATGTGCAAGTGAAGGTAAAATTTTGCTTTAATGCCTATTGTGTATTTTTTTTACAGACCTCTTGAAATCATT